GGTATGATTGCTGTGTGCTTTTAAATTGTGGTACTGTTTTGTTTTGTGCTTCTTTCTTTCCCTTATTTGTACACACACACCCCCTTGATTTGGATTGTAAGCCGCCCTGAGTCCCCTCCGGGGAAAAGGGCGGCATAGAAATATAATCAATCAATCAATCAATCAATCTGTGTGTATGTGTGTGTGAGTGGTGTGTCTTCTCCTTGACGCAGATATTCCACCACGCCTGGTACCTACAGTAGCCCTCAAATTATAACCTACAATCGAGCCCAAAATTCCCATAGCTAAACAAATAGTTGCTTAGTGTATTATGCTTCATTTTACAACCTTTTTTGCCAGTTGTTAAGCGAATATGGCTTCCCCCATTGACTTTGCTTGTGTGACATTCAACATAAATACCTGCCAATTTGCCAAGTGCCTGAATTTTGATCACATGACCACGGGGATGCTGCAATGGTCGTAAGTGTGAAAAACAGTCATAAGTCACTTTTTTGGGTGTCTTTAACTTCACATGGTCGAATGAAGGATTGTAAGCTCAGTTCTACTTGTATAAGCCTTCACAATGAAAGATGCCCTATAATTTTTTACATGCCAGGTCAGTCTTAAATTGCATATTTAAAATATGCAATTTTAAAGTGAAATATTTTCTAATATTAGGAAATATTGGAATGCGCCAAAATGAAAAGATTAACACTGGCAACTAAAGAGAAAGGACACGCTGATTATTATACTGTATGGGATTCATCTTATCGATGGTTAGAGAATAAATATAAGAATTAGAAGTAAAAGTTGATGTGTAAAATATAGAAAATGTATCAATAGAGTCAACATAATTAATAGTTAAATAAATCAAGAAGAGGGTTGTTATAGCATTAGACATTTAAGGTATTGGTATTAAGCTAGGACTAGATTAAATAATGAATATGATTGTAAATTTTAACTGCTATTGCACAAAATATTTGTACCCAGATGATACACTGTTTAATGGAAGATGGATTGTTTATATTAAAATAAAATAAAAATTTATAATTTACCAAAAAAAATGCATTTAAGCTATTGGGAAAGACCTATGCTATTTCTGAAACTCCTTGAGGGTTTCCAGAGAGATATATCCAGTTTTAAGAGCAGAATTCCTCTTTGAAAATCTTAAATAACAGATTAAGCCTGCCATCCTTGTACAGCTATGGACTTGTAGTACAGTAGAATATAGAATAGAATAGAATAGAATACCCTGTTTCCCCAGATAATAAGCCCAATTTTAATTGAGGCAATCGTTGGATGCTTCTTTTATTTGGTTTATACACCGCCCACCACCGCTGCATTGAACGGTATAGAAATTAATGTGTAAGCAAGCAAATACCTAACATTTGTTGTCTGAACTAGACTGAAGCATTAAAGACAAATGCCTTTTTTTTTTACCCTGTTTCCCTGAATATAAGACCTCCCTGGATAATAAGCCCAATCAGGCTTTTGAGCACATGCACTAAAATAAGCCCTCCCTGA